CTACTACTATTCCTGCTCCTGCTTTTGGGGGTGGCTTTGCCACAAAACTCTACCCCGCAAAAGGCGAAAGTTTGGCGAAAGTTCAGCTCAAGATTGGCGAAAGTTCACCCTGCCACATCTGACCCCCAGCCCATCATGAGTAAGTTTGAGTGACCGGCTACTACAGTGATTCTTGCAATTTTGATTCTTGCTGACACCCAGGAGAAACAAAAGAGACGTACAGGGTGTCAACAGTTGAGTAGAAGACACATGCTGACAAACAGTGAAGTTTCTATTTTGTGTTTGCCAGTAAAGAAGAAGCCATTGACGTGAACAAAACACAACATACATGGCACACATAAATACAACGTACTTCGGCGAAAAATAAAACGCAGGAAGGCGAAAGTTTGGCGAAAGTAATTTTTTTTGGCGAAAATGACGGATCCCGGATAAAGGAATTTAGATCAACTCCCATATATTCTTTGGGACCTCAAAGGGTATGACGATTCCACATCGGCATCAATCCACTTGCCCCTTCCCAGCTCCAGGTCATGGCGGACCAAAGTTTGCTGATCGAGACGCTTCAGGTTCCGAGGGTGGTGACGTGCTAAAAAGATGGTCGAACAGAACACCCTGAGCCAGCGAAGAAGGTGTGTGGAAACGCAAATGTGGTGTACAGTGTACTGTATATATGTAAAAATGCATATATAAATATATACATACGTGTTATAGTTTTAGTTGTATATTCCTATAGGAAAGAATATATTCCTGAAACTCGCACCAAAGGAACGATCGTTTTGGCTGCACCAAAAAGGTCGAGTTGTTTGATTTTACCAGTAGCACACGCTTGGTGGACTTTCTACCAAGCTTGCTCAAGATGACAGTTTGCTGAGCAAGTCCTTTCTTTTCAGCACGCCAGTTTTGCAGAACATAGCATTTCTGGGCAGTCAAAACTCGATAAAATACAATCATATATATATACACATGTTTTTCCTGCGATCGTTTTTTTCGGGGCGAATGTCCATTTGGAGGTTCCACCGATCACAGCCCGCGTTCAGGCAGTCCATCAACACACTGAAGGTGTGCTGGACTTGCTGATGAGTCTTGGCCAAAGTGCTGCCATTTTGTTGGGTGAAGTGATACCGCAGATGAGGAGGGTCAGAGTCAGAGTCAGAGCTTCCAGAATCAAGGGAAGGGACGTTTTCGGACAATAAGGGGGGGCAATTTGTCAACCTTAACCCGGCTGCCTTTTGAAGAGGCGGATGTAAAGATGTGATTGTGAAGTGACAAAATGTATTTTTGTTTTTGAGTCACTGGTCCTAGAGAAGATGGAAAAACCACTGGGTTCTACAGGTGACTGGTCATCAGATGTGGTGGTTGTATGACATGTTTTCCGTCGTTCTTTCTCGCATTTGCCTGCAGCCTTAAAGGAACGTAGGTAGCAACATGCGAAGAACATCGAACAACCATAATATGTTTCGGGCTTTGTAAAGCTGTGGCCAAAGCTAAGCCGTGTGTGTGTGTGTGTGTGTGTCCAGCCCTGTCTCAAAGGGTCTTTTCCACTTTCATAATTCTCAGCAGGGGGCTGGAGTGTGCTTCAGATGTCTCCAGCCAACGAAGACGCATCTGTTGCACAGTGATATAGTTCTGGGACGCCAGAACTACGTACCTGCTTTGAAACTCTTGCACAAGCTGTTCCAATCCGCCTTTTTTGATTCATGGTGGTTACATGTCTTCATCCCACAAACCTCCCCTTTGCCGCCGTCAGCTGCCGCGCGTTCGTGAACTGCAGATGTGCACAAACCATTTTTTGAAACATCTTCAAGTGCTCCGACCATTTCACCTTTCGGTTCCATCACCATTTTTCCTGGAAATTGAGTTAACTGAAAACCAATGTCGAAGTGTATGCTTTTCAACCCGGGCGGCTGTCGGGCAAGATGTCCACAAGAAACAGACATACCTGGAGTCGACCTGCTCGTACCTTACAGTCATACATGTATAGGGTCCCATTTTCTAGAGTACGAACTGGAGGGTTTATAACTTTGTGCTCAGGGCGGATGTTGTTAGAACGTAGGGGGGCCCAGTCCAAGACATTCCACGTTCGGACTGGAAACCCTTCACCCTAGACTTCCAAGACCATAGATGGTTGACCTGGTTTTTGTAGTATAAAATCATTAGGTGATTCGGTAAAGCCTATTAAATCAATGGTGTTTGGAAGCCTCGGGTTTCGGTTGGCCATTCTTCTCCGTTTCGATGAACTTCGACCGATCACAGCTGACCGTGCGACTGGCAGGAAGGCATGCAACAAGATGAGCTGGTGGCCCAGGGGGTCTCTTGCAGAGGGGAACACATTCAGCACCAGACCCTGAGAGGCACCAGACCCTGAAAGGTGAAAGCCTAACAGGATTTTGTTGGAAACTGAGAGTAGTGTCGTGGTTGGTTGATCCTCGACAGAGAGTCCTCACAAGCTTGCATGTCTTGTGTGTTGCTCGTGTTTGGACTTTACCTTGGCAATATCGCCAACCTAGACCTGAACCGTTTTTACATTCCGCCCACAGCGCCGCAGCCGGGGGCTCATGAGCACACCATGCTATTTGCGGGTTACGACTCACCCTGCTCAATCAGATATACATATATACATGATTATAAATGCTTATGCACATGCCAGCCAGAAGATGGATGTGTGCCCAGGAAAATCCAGCAGCAAAGATCATCATTTCCCTACTGTGCGGGTCAAGTCTGACCCAGGAAAACCTGGGCATGAACACATTGAAGTGTTTTTTCTATGACCAAACATATCCAAGCATGAGGTCCAGCTGAAGAAAATCTTTGCGGGCCCACTGCCAGAGGATGTGGTAAAACTATGGTCAAACTAGCAGACGATGTGACTCCGTCGGTCAAAACTGCTTGGGATTGACACGTCCATCCGGGTCCAAAGCCGCCATCAGCGCCATGCGGGCACCATGGATCCCGCATCTCCGGAGGCGGGGGGGGGTGGGGGCTTTCAGGCAGAGCGCAGGTGCGCGGGGGGTTGGAGGATGCAGCGCTGGATCAGTGGATGCATCAGGAGTATAGGATGACCTTTGGAAGTGGATGAAGTTGGTAAATCCAAGAACTGTTTGAAAGATCTCAATTGGTCAAACATGGTCAAACTAGTTGAATTTTCAAGCGAGTTTTGGAGGTGGAGCACGGGGGAGGGTCAGAATTGATACGTTGATAGTTGAGGTGCAAACCATCGATTTGCTTTCGAAAGCCCCCGACCGCAAAGGACACACACATCACAAAGTGGTTCGACAGAGAAGGAACAGAAAGCCTCAGGATACACTTGCCGAGAAGGCTTGGGTGACACACACTCCGACTCCCCTTGTGGGTTGAGTGGCAATACCTGGACCCTCCGAAGCACTTTGGAACATGGGACATGACCCCTACAAAAATGTGTATACTTGCACCCCATGTACTTTGGACTGCAGGTGGAAGCAGAACCGATGGATGTAAAACATGTCTTCGGTCCACAATGCGTAGCATACCTGAGAACCATGTACGGCGTCTAGACATGACAAGGATATGAAATGCATGTCGCTGCACCAGTTCCCACTCCAAGTCCTTTGAAACTTGTTTGGACGACACCTAAACATGCTGCAGCAACCCAAATCTTGCCAGAGTCTGTATGACTGAAGAACCTAGCATAGGAAAAAACACAAACAAAAGGCCCTTTGGTTCATGAGTTTTGCGTTAGTTGATTTATCGACGTTTCGGATGAGTCGATTCAGAAACGTGTCCCGGGGTGTTCTGGTACTCTCCCCGCTCCCTGTTTGAACATGATACACATAATCTCTCCAGACATGACAGACGTACCACACCAAGAATTCCTGATGTTATTTAATGCGCAGAATCAACACGTACAATACATGATATTGTATATCATAACTCAGATACACATCCAAATATGGAAAATCATATGTTGTTTCATGATATTTGCTTGTAAGGGTGCACGAATTCCTCACGCTTGACATAAACCCCGCAACCTACTTCCCCCGGACATTCGGCAGACTTACAACTTATCTCAATCAATTCTCAGTCCTAGCTGGGTTCTAGGTATATGTGTGAATGTTCAGTCTTTGTGGCTAAAGGAGTTCATCATCGTTCATCCATTGAATTTGCCAGACACGAACACGTCTGGAACTGCGGTGCCGACCCGTGACCCGACCCCCCAACACCAACGAATCCAACCCCGTCCAGTCCGAGACCGGTCCGTGTTTGAGTTCCCAGCGTCCAGAGTCCCAGGACTCAGCCTTGGAGTCGGACTCGGACGGAGCACCAGCGCGCCGGAATATTTATTCGCGCCGTTCGGTCGTGACCGGGCGAGGCGAGTTGAGAAGGGGAGAAGAGACCGACCGAGCAGTGCACATGTCGTGTAACAGGCGGAGCTGGACTGGGCCTTTGCTGCCTTTGATGCTGAGCTGCGGCCTGGCATCGCAAAGCAGAAACAACAAACACGTCTAGGGGCGGTGCAACGGTGGAGAGGGCTCGTGAAGAATCCAAGTGACCAAGCTGAGCGGCGCTTGGGCGTGAACGGAAGAGTTGTGAGGCGGCCCAAGTTCGGCCGTTGAAATGACTTTGGGTTTGTTACAGTCTGTTCTTGGGTGACTTGCAGCGGGGAGTTGGCATACTCGACGCCACAAGTGTACAAAGTTAATCATGCTGAGCTGTGCTGGGGATTGCTTGACCCTAACTGTTTGGATGTGAAAACCTGCTATCCAAATACCAGTAGACCGACCTCTTGCTACCGAGCTGCTGCTAATAAGGTGCTACTGGTCATGTGATTTGGGTTATGTCAGTGTCTCGTTGGGCAGAGGTGCCGAATGTTGCGACCTTCGGGCGCCCTGCAGGCGAAAGAAAACAACGAAAAGCTCCTGTTTGCAGAATTTACTTTACCGGATTGGGTGAATTCCCTGGCATGCAGAATAGTTGCGATAGTTTTCTGCGGGTTAAGCAGATCTGGATATTGAATCTGTGGAGCATGTGCGGATTCCTCCAGCATGAGATACCCTCTGACGAAGACATCACATGGAAGTGGAGTTCACCCCCTGTTTGTAAATGAAAGGGTCCTTTTGCAAGGGACAAATGCTATCCACTTCCATGTTAGTGAATCGGAGTCTATGGCATATATATAGTTATTTGGAATAGTTGCCTGCATGTGATTTCTCCAAGGTCCAACACGTCGCTCGTTTCACCATCTCACTCGTCGTATCTCACTCGTACGGGCAAGATCCATCGGGGTTTCCCGCTTCCAAGTGGCGCCACCATACAAGATTGCTGACCATACAAGAGGAGACCTGATCGGACCCATCACCTGATCGGACCCATCACCTGATCGGACCCATCACCTGA